ATCACTCACACCATGATGTGAGGCATTCATATTAATGACGCGAAGAATGCACGACAAAAACACGTACATTGAGTGGTGTGGGCGAATTGACTGAATCATTGACTGAATCATGGACTGAATCAATGACTACCATTCGCGTGATGATCGCCTACCACCGACAACACTAACGCCACTGCCTCGACAGCGCACAACCCGTACCATCGGAGACACACCTCTTCTCCATTTATACACTTCATCACGAAATTTTCATGCAACTGCATGTAAAATGTCCAAAAGAAAATATTTTTGTCATCTCTACAAGTGTTGGATTGCATTACATTTGACGTCAGAATAGTAATGATATGGGCTGATTATCTCCCGGAGATATGTCTCTGATTTTTTTCTCAGTAATTGTCCCTCCTACTACGTCACAATGATTTCGACAGTCGTGGTATTCGCGATAACTCTGCTTTTTTGGGAATTTGTATTACGTCGTCCACTGGACACGTTGTCAGCTGCGAAGCGCGAGCCGTCGCCTGAAGGCCGCCTAAACGTCCGTACGTCTAGGGTTTGGGCTTTTCCATTCGGAAATTGATTCGGCTAATATGATGCATTAATGTGAATCCAAACGTTTATGATTTTGCTTCCTGTGTGTGGATTCCTCTCCTCCGGGGAGAGCGGCCTTATCTGCCGAGTGGTACTATGTATAGCATAGTACTCAGTCGTGGAAGGTCTATGTAGAATATTTTCCTATTCTCATTGTATCGTACAAAATAAGTTGTTATAGGATCTACATACAAGATGGCGCAAAGAAAAGGGCCCAGACCTCATAATTTCGCGGCAAGTGACAGTTCGTGAACAAAAAAGTACCAAAGTACCATCTGAAAGCCCTCATCGAGCTCTCTCCAACGCTGTATGAACGGTTCTGATATCCATACCGTGCGCTGAGGTATCGTCAAACGCAAAATCGGCTACATAGGGAAAAGCCGTACCGATTTGGACTTGTTACCCATTAGAGGTGTTCAAAGTGTCCCCCGTCAATTTCGGTGACCAACCTCAGCATCCTCAACCGCACATCGCATGCCCTTTCTGCGGCAGGAAGAGGGATGACATCCCGAAAAAAGGCGGACGCTGAAATCCCCTGGAAAAGAAGAAGTCGGCGGTGGGATCGAAGAAGATTATGCCTGACATCTCACGCCACCCTTCAGTTCGTCGAGGGTCGTGACCGGACAGTGGCTTTTGGACACTCCCGCCTGCAGGAGTCCCCTCAAGAACTCCGTTCCTAGGGTCTTTGCGCACCGAAATCATTTTGTTTTTGCGCAGATAAACGGTGACGTAACGTTACATGTCCGACAAGAAAACGCTATCAAGTCAAAACCGGTACGGCTTTCCCCTATGTAGCCGATTTTGCGTTAGGAGATACCTCAATGCACAACACGGATCTCAGAACCGTTCTCACAGCATTGGAGAGAGCTCGATTAGGACTTCCAAATAGTACCTTCTCCGTTCACTAACTGTCACTTGCCGCAAAATTGCGGGGGTGGGCCCTCTTTTTGCACCATCGTGTACTCCATTATAGACTTTAAATTGCATCATCATCATTGAGAATAAGACATGATGACGATTGAGAACGGTGACTGATTTGAGGGGTCGTCGGAATCGTTATTCATTATCACATGCTTCCAGCAATGTTCGGAGGCGGGCAGTCGGTCGGGTGCTTCGGCTCTAGTTACTAGACATGTCTGTATGGTAGGGACGCTGTGGGCACTTTCTCGGCCTCACACGATCAAGGGGACGATAACGGCAGTCACCACGGGCTATATCCTCATGTATCTGTATTCTGGTGGAAGACAGTCGAACGTTACAGCGTAAGTGGAAAAGGGGTGTTACGAGGTGCAGTGGCGGTGTTGGTCAGATATATACGGATTCTCATATCGGGAGTGATGGCAAATGTGTTCATAGTTGCTATCAATCAGCTCACTGATGTTGATATTGACAAGGCCAATGGAAAACCTCTACCGATTCCCGCTGGTGAGTCGAACTGTGGAAATAGTTTGACGGCTTCAATGCGGTATGATACATATTAATATCCTCCAGAAAACTCTCCAGTTTTTATAGCTCTCGAAGGCCAGCTTTTAGTAACACCAAGTGTGATGAGAATTCGAATCGTATGGTAGCGTTTCACAAGCATTTTGTTGCTCTCAAAAATGAAGGAATTATTTCACAGACATAATTTTTCATGACGGTTCGAGTGTCATTCGAGCGTACTGATGCCTGCCTTAGGAAAAATGAAGTTCAGCCAGGCCCGACTCGCTACGGGTCTCGCCCTTTGCTTTACCACCGCTGTGTCCTTCGCCCAGTCAACTACTTGGTTCGTCACCTTATCGGCCATGTGCGCTATCGGCTACGCCTATTCCGTCCCGCCACTGAGACTCAAGCGTCACGCAGTTCCGGCGGCTCTTTGCATAGTAACTCTGAGCATTGATGCTGATTGCTGATGATGAACCTGTCAGGTGGGAGCCCGAGCAGTCCTCGGGATAATAGGGGGAACGCATGCCTATTGCGAAGCGTTCGATGTGACTTTGGACCCGACTACCAACAGACAGATGTATGTGTTGGTATGATCTCATGCGTGTTGATCATTGAATCACTAATCAGGTTCACTTTCTGTGGTATTCTCATTGTATTCTGTACGACTGTTGCAATAATGAAGGACATACCCGACATAAAAGGCGACATCACAGACAATGTCAACTCCTTCGCCGTAAGTGACGAGGTGGTTCATCTTGACGCGAGAGCATCAGGTACAGTGGGGGGCCTATCGTATGTCACGTTTCTGTCTGTGGATATTAACTGCTTCTTACATGGCTGTGATCGGTCTCTTGGCGGACGATAGCTCGACAGGCCTACTGCATGCTATCGCCTGTGTGTACATGTGGGGGTAGGTGCTGAGCGCTGTTAATTCGTTATAACGCTTCTGCAGGCATTGGCATTTGAACATAGCGCCGGGTGACAACAGTGACGCAGCGTTGGAGTTAGTGAAGGACAACTACTTCAACACGTTATGGCCGTTATTTTACTTTGAATTCATAGCGTGAGGTGCTTCTCACGAACAGCAAATATGATTCTTGAATCTGCAGTTATCCCGCGCCGATCTTCATGAAATTGCTCGGTGTTCGTCCCCTGCCTTCCTGGTTTCTGGTCAGCGTATTGGCGGTAGTTTTAGTAAGACTTTACTCTTGCAGTGCCTCCGCATAAGTCGTCTATAGTTTAACACGGCCGTGGCGATGATTGAAGATGCACGAGAAGAAAGAAGACGGAAAGCGATGAGCGCTCCAGAACTTGCACAAATTCGTGCTGATGTGCAAGAGGTTGGCCAGAGTTTTTCATAAAGACAATTATGCTTCCTTCCTAAGGTGGAAATCCTTCTGAAGGGCCTAGTAGGCGTTGATCTGCCGGATGCTCATGCTGCTGCTCTGGGGCTCGGCTCATCTCGCCGGAAAAGTCACTTGGACCGAGCCGCAGTCGTGTGCGCGCTTGGGAGAGCTCTCGGACTCGATCGTGAGGACGGTGGGATGGAACAGGTATGGTTACCAAGTCACAATGCTATTCAATAGCATCACTATATTGGTATGGGTGGCAGTTGACTTTGGGCGAATGGAGTAGCTCAATTGGAAGGCTTTATTCGTGGTTGGCATTGGTTGTTCTAGCATAGTGTGTTGTATTCAGGTGTATAGGATTGCGGAAGCTGCGGAGCTGGAGTACAGCGCCTTGCTCATGCACTCTGAGCTAGTCCAGGATGGCAAGGTTGGTGTTTGGTATTCGTTTACACCATTGAGTACACATCAGCAGTATTTACATACATTCTTACAGAGAAGTACATCATTCTTAAATTCAACATACTTTGTCGTTTCTCAATTCAATTTTTCCTCATTTCATATACGATATTAGATATCCTTCTATTTCTGCTTTCTCATGTTCGTGTCCCATGTTCATCAGTATTGTATACACATAGAATTATTGTCCGACACTTACACTAGGTCTCGGTCTTCTCCTGAGTCTGCAACTGGTGTACTATAATTTTCGGCGCTTTCCCGTCTGGCCCGGGGAGTACTGCATGAAGTAAAATAATGTATCTTTGTGATTACCTTATGTGATGTAGCATATTTGGTGATTATTATAGTCTGTCTTATTACTCAATTCATACTCATCATCGGAGTCTTACTCGTAGAATCACGAACTGCTTGTCGCGGTTGCAGTGCTCCACGAAAGTGCATCGTTGGTAGGTGACAAAAGCTGTGAAGTTAGCGGTGCTTGGCGGCGACTGGTACCTTGGGTCTGCTTCTGTAGTGTTGGCTGATACAGGCCTACAGCCAGTGGTGAGCTGTCTCGCTGTAGCATCGTGGGCAATGAATGATGTTTCAGGTTCAAGAGATGTCCGATGCGATAGCCGAGATGACAGCATACAATGTGGAGACGAAGGGGAAGTCTGGCGTGACGGCTCGGAGACGGGCTGAGTTCAGTCGAATAATCCTCAAGCATGCCTGCAAATCACTGGGTGAGACCGTCTCAGCTCGGTCTGATCCTTTTCCTATAGTATGTGTTGTAGGTCATGTACAGCAGCGCTCTGGAGAGACATTAGAACGGCTTGGCAAGCTGGGCTTCGACGTGCCGTTGGTGGACATGGAGAATTTTAGTGGTCTTTGGCCTGAGTCTGGGAAGACGGAACGCCGTGTTGATGCTTTGACAAAGTTGATGTGCGTTTTGGCGACCAACTGATTCGTTTCGGACAATAATTTGTTTCTGAATGTACGAATGGTGTTGATGTCAAGAAGTGTGATGGACGAATGATCATTGGTGCGAAACGATTACAATGTCAGAATCGCAATCAAATATAGGTAATCTCGAATAGTCTGTGCAGTGACCTCGTTCCTGTGAGACGAGTGAAATATTTTACCTCGTAAATTCATCAGGTGAACTCTCCAACTACTCATGCTTGACTTCACCTCATCACAGCATTCACATCGAACGCATGATCGTGTGCAAGGACACGAGGCTGCCCAAAGCATGAACTGATGTTCGCTTGATCTGTTGCGCAAGTTCTGCTTCAACTTGTTCATTCGTTGATGTAATATAGCGACTACATGAATAAGGCAATACACAGCTCAGCTCACAGCATTCTCAAGTTGTCAACGTATAGATTTCACGTTAAATCCAACCTACGACGGCGTTGGCTTATGAACTCGGTATTAACTTAAGAGAAAGTGTATTGCAAACTGCCTGAGTTAAACGAGTATGCCGTTTATAAAGCAGTGGACTATAGATACTTCGCAGGCTGCGAATCGCAGCCATGCGAGCGCTACCGATGAAGTGCTCCGTCGACCAGCAGCGCGAAAAATCTCGCCCGCCATTATGATCGATTTGTGGATAGCGGAGGGTGATGCTTGCAGAAGTCTCCTCTGACAGACCCACTTCCCAAAATGGCCAGACGCACTAAGAAGGTTGGTATCTCCGGCAAGTACGGCACCCGTTATGGCGCTTCCTTGCGTAAGCTCGTGAAGAAGTTTGAGGCTCAGTCCAAGGCGAAGTACACCTGCCCCTTCTGCGGCAAGGACTCCGTCAAGCGTCAGGTAATCATTCGTGACTGTAAGAATCTCTTTCGCTCCCGCTTTTTCGATAGCCTATAGTCCTTCAACATGGAATTTATGTTCATCCTATGTTAATTTGCTGTTATTCAACTGTTTTCAGGCTGGTGGCATCTGGTCTTGTCGTTCTTGCAAGAAGACCATGGCTGGCGGATGCTGGCAGTTGACCACTGCTGCTGCGGCCACTGTTCGGTAATAACTAGGCGCCTTTGCTTTTCCTGCTTCCTAACGTTGGTCTGCTTTCAGTGCCTCTATGCAGCGTCTCCGCAAGCTCCAGGCCGCTGAGATATAAACAGCAGCTGATGGTTTATAACGGAAGGGTCTCTGGTCGAAGTGTTGGCTTTCGGTTGCGTTTATACTGTTGTGTGGGAAGAGTGACGCTTAATTCTCATAAACTGGGGAAGGTGTATGGATCGTGTATTAGAGGCACTTCCACTATGCAACTCAACTCCCAAGCAATCCAAGACACGTTTCATCCTTCATCATCATTCTTCCATGTATTGATATCCTGGGTGCCGTGTATGTGTCATCGATAATTACCAAGAGCAGCTATCAATGACTGAAGATGTTACGTGCCCCGTTGGGCTCTTCAAGCGAGTCAATAGTAGTGTATGACCTATAATTCCAATACGCGGCTTTTTCTATCGAGCAGTCATGGCGACATCCTACTTTATTGACTCGCCTGGCTCTTCTCTGAGCTCCACTAGTGGCTGCCTATCAGCAACATGTAACTGAAATATCTACGTGTGTTCAGCGTTATACTTCATCTCACCACTTGAATGGAAAGCGAGATTTTGTGGAAGGTCGACTTGGTAGTCACTTGAAGCCACATCGTATGGGCATGGGCGCTCGCACATGATGATCTTCCGTATCTATTCACTCAAATAACCGAAGATGTTTCGACCCCCGTTGGGCTCTTAAAGTGAGTCAATAGTAGTGTATGACTTATAGTTCCAATACGCGGCTTTTTCTATGAAGCAGTCATGGTGACATCCTACTTCATTGACTCGCTGCGGACCGCTGCGTGCTCTCTCACGGAATGCTGTGCTGCAGTTTACGCTGAACCTGCGGGGCTAGGACGCTAGGTGGCTCTAGACTTCAAGACCCCAGCGAAGAGTGACTCTGACTGATTTCGAGGGTTAGCGAGCTCCCCTGCCTTATGTGGCTAGTCTAATAATCATTAATATCGTAATCGGCTGATGGTCTGTAACCCATGAACTTTTACAGCTGATAATGTCGCGTTCCAGGATCGGTCGGAGCTGCTAGACATGGCCTCGATTCGAGACCCTCGGACACCAACTGAAGGCTACTGACCTGTATCAGTATGGTTGGTAGCTTTGCAGGTAGGAGTATCCCAGTCGAATGAGTTATCGAGTGATCTCCGCTCGCGAGAGAACGCTTGGCTTTCAGTGGATATGACACCAACGGCCTATAGCCTGCAAGTTGCAGCCTTTGGGAGCCAATGAGAGCACGAACGACCTGCGCCGTACGTGGGCATCGTCGTACTTATCGTATGCATGGATGTTGGATGCTCATCGCGAGTTGGTATCGTATTCCCGTCGCGCTTCTCCAACGGACTGTAAACCTTCCCAGTTCAAAGCGGGTGTAGTTCCCCCCAAGCAGAGAAGCTCGATAAAGGTTTGCGAGCCATATGTTTTCTTCTTCCCCTTGGTTTGCTGATGGACATTTCGCGAATGAACTCTTCTGCACTCCATACGGCGGGCAATGAAAGATGAAAGAGCTTTATCAGCAGCAACGGACACACTATGTTTACAGTTGCGTGTGCTCAGCAGAATGCAATCTGATCAAGGGAAATTGTCCACAGCTAGTCTGGACCTCTTAAAATATGAACGTAGGGAGGTTACAGAGCTCATTAGAACTTCTGCGTGGCGGAGGAAGAATCAGAATGGTAGACGAAAATGTGAGGGCTTCAATCCTGCCCGGTGCCCGTCCCAGCTGTAGAGAACTCCATGGGAGACAGCGCAGGATCACTGTGTAAATTTACATGTGGCAGAGGGGAAAAATTTGAAAGCCTGTTTTCTCGATGAGAAATGCGGACTATTCCACAAAACTCAGGGCCTTCGGGAGCTCTATGAATTTCTGATCTAATGAGATCCGCACTCATGTTCTCATGTTCACAGGTGTTTTGCTGAGCCAGCACATCGGATGTGCTTTGCGTTCCCCGCGCAAATGATGAGCCCCCGAATCTCCAGAAAGGGAGTCCTTTTCAAAGACGGTGTCGTTAGATGCTCTCATGCATGATTGCAAGTTACGAATTGCAGCCCAGAAAGTTCGTGCCCTGATGCGGCGGGTCATGACTGGCCCGTAAATTACTGACATCAACTTGATGACATCATTTCGCTGACAAAGACATCAATTTGATGTCTTTGTCAGCGAAATCGACTCCCCCGATCACGAAATTGAAGGCTTATTCGCGAGAAAACCACTCAAACTGGAATCTCTATTTGCAGCGCATCGATGAAGGTCAGCGGGTAGTTCCTTGTTCGGTCATATGATGGACTCATGATGAACTCAAAAAGCTCAAGTTAGATCCTAATCCGCGGACATATAGGGCTCAATAGCCAAATAGTAATCTCTCAAGGAGGCGAATGATTCGCCAAATAGCATCCTTCTAAATATTGTATGTAGATTAACATAGTCCTACATTGTAGAACTATGCTACGAGAATGGGGGATCTAACTGAACAACTTCAGTTACTGAAGGTCTCCTCCCGAAGCGGTCGTAAAATGACCAACGATGATGGAGGGCATTCTGCTGTAGACCGTAGATCCAAAAGAAGATCGCGAAATAAGAGAATTGTTCATGGATGTCGCGGTCTCAGTTTGCCGAATCCGACTCGTTTACGAGTAGGGTCGAACTCAAAATACTTATCGATCAACATACGATCGTGAAAACTCCAGTCATCCTCTTGGTTTTCCATGATAAGGAGTAGGCAGATACCATCGTGATTCACGGCATAGTTCGTGAATGTCATCGTAAATGTAGTTGAGCCCTGAGGGCCCAAGGCAAACGTCAACAGTGGCAGCTGGCTCATGTATTGGCAAGGCAGGGACCATATCTCGTCTTCTCGATCGAACTTGAAATCGACATGCTTACCCGCAGCCTTGTCAGTTTGAGCTCCAATATCCTTGATAAGACGATTATAGTATAATTTTGGGACATAGAGATAGTTAGCGCCGGTGTCAAAGTCTAAGTTCATATTGATACCCGAAGTTATAGTTCCATCACCGACTCGTAGCTTGTCAATATTTACCCTGTAACCTGCGCCCGTAGAGAAGTCGACATACTTCAGTGCTCCCTCATATAATGCAGGATCGCCTCCACCAAGGAGTAGGCCTCCATCAGTGGATGCCCCCGTGGGATCAGTTGGAGGGTACAAGTAGAGAGCAATGATATCGGTCTTTATAGCTTTCGATGATCGCAACTGCGTCATGAGAGACGGGAAGTTCACATCGCCGTCATCATAGCCAAGACCCATCAAATTAATCGGAGGAGCTTCACTGACAGGAGGCTTCTGGTCGAATATCAGTCCGAAAGTGAGGATCTGCGACACCTGACCGATCGTCAATTTCGATTTGTGCTGAAAAATTTTCATCGTGTATTCGTCCTCGAAATCGGCAGTTCTCGTCACCTTACCCACAGAGCAAGGCTTCGAGCATTCGTAACACCCCATGGGCGCTGCACTGCAGAGGTGTCCAGTGGCTTTCTCGAACCAATCCTTCCAGGTGAGGAAAAACAAACCCGATCCAGTGTCAACGAGAGCATGTAGGTCCTGACCATTCTCACCGACCAGAGTATGGAACAATCCAAAGCCGTATGCACGCATAAATCTGTAATCAACATCGAGGTTGAGAGTTTCTCCTCGGGAGACCTTCACCACGTCAAACACACAAACCAAGACCAGCAGTCTAACGGGCATAGGAGAACGCATTACGGTCAATATTTTGGATCTCAATATAGGCGAGTGGCACGTTTTTGCCTCACGCTTTGGACGCGCATGCTGACTCGCAGCGGCAAGTCTCGGCAAGCGAAATCACTGAGAGAAAATTTACGGTTTAGTTCGGTTTTGATCGGTTTACTGTTAGAGGCATCCTCCTCTATCGTGCTATCCCT